CATCGTACTATATGTATATTTAATTATCAAGATATATGGCATTTAGCCAAAGCACCTCATCTATTTGCAAATAAAGTTTTGTTTCAGAAAGATCGATCAGCAGCTTATTGTATGGCACAATATTTAGATGTACGTAATAAGATGAAACAAGAAAAAAAAGAATTTTTAATAATTGATGAAAATTTCTATAAGCAATTACAGAATGTTGAATTTGGAAACAAGAAGAAATTGATGAAATGAATGAAGATTACTTATTGGAATATTATGTATTAATTAATATGAAGAAAATTTTAGTTGTTTAGTAATTATTTTATGAAATAAATTATTGGTTTTGAAACAATTCTCACATACTGAAATTATATTTGATATTCATTCTACAAAAACTAATTTAATTATGAAATTCTTATTTTTACGATACTTATGTAAACTAATAATATATACGATACATAGTTGCTGTTAATAAATGTTGTGATAGATCTAATCGAAACTATACCTATAAATGACAATAGTAAATGATATATTGAAATGACTTTAGTCTAGTTATGTAAAAGAAGAAGTAGTCGAAAAAAGTATCTCAATTATGTCGAAGACTTCATCTTCATATTTAACCTGTGAGGAGATTCTAGTAGAAGTAATAAATATCTAGTATAGTTTGTTAAGATTCTCTGTGTTACAAATATAGAAGATATATAATAAATGTTAGAATGAGTATATTTTTTTCTTGATAAGAAAAGTTTTTCATTATATCAATTCTTATGATAGTAGAAAAAAGCGATATGTAACTGTTCATCCTTGTTTCTACGCAATTTATTAATAGTTTTTAATATTACTACCATCATAATTCAATATAATTTGATAAAAACTAAACGATCAGTAGAAAATTAGATTCTATCTAAAAAGGTCAGAATCATTGCACCTTTGCATTCTTACCACAAAGTCTCTGTATATGAACTCATAAAACTGATTATCTTTTAAGAGACTCTAGTTCCAGAGTAATAATAGTTTCGAATTGAGTAAGTTGAGAAGTAAACATTTTCATTTAAATATTTGATTTTACAGAATAATATTCTAAAGATCTGTTTCAATATGAATGTTTATTTACAATCAAGAATGAAGCTATATATAGGAACAAAAACCATTTGATTGTTTTTAACAAGAGAATAAAAGCAGAATTACATTCTATTCCTCGTAGGAAAAAATATTTATACTTGTAAACTGTTCAGATGAGATAATTAATTGTTTTGTTTCGAAAGAATATCTGACACTTAGCATATATTGAATTGTATTCGATATAATTTGAAAACAAATTCCTATAACGGATGATCGAAAAGGTTTTGAACAAAATGTCTGTTCACTTTTGACTCGTCAGAAAGTATTTTCGACAAGTGAAAAATTATGAGTTAAGATTAGAATGTTGTTTATGCATCAGTAGTGAAGAACTTTTGTAAGTTTTGAAAAAATTATTTTTTTGATAGTGATCAAACATGTTTTTGTTTATTATGTAAAAGCCTTTTCAAACATACTAAAAATTGTACGACTCGATCACCTTGTAGAATAAAAAGTACTGAATAGTGCGTTTTATAGAACGACTTCTAATCTATAACATAGTATATACATCAAAATCCAGCCTTTACTTTCGAGATGTAATTAATGCATACTAAAACGGAAAAAAAAACTTCTTTTGTGTGAGTCAATATATGAAATATTAAAGTGATGTAATATAAATATACGTTACTTATTCTCTTTCTTTCTTTATTTAAATTTTCGTTTTCATATTTCACTGCATGTTGATATCAAATACAAAAATACGTATTAGTGAATAAAAAGTCATTCAAGCAAAACATTATTTACCATGTGCCTATATTCAGTCTAGTAACGTACTTGGGTAAGATAAGTCAAGGTGATATTTATCAAGCACGCTGCTTACAGTAGATCGTTTATCTACTGTTAGAATGGAAAGCTCTACAGATAATTTGGTAGACTTTTATTTCATACAAATACAACTCGATAAACTTCGTCGACCACTTCTTATTTTTAGCAAATCACTTCTTTTAATTATTTTTATGGCAGTTACTATATATATAGCTTATATAACTACTATTACAGTCAGCTATTCTTATAAACCACAACAAAAACATAATGGACCACGTGGAGTTATTGTAACATTACTTCGTAGTACGAATCGATCTATTCTTTTGACTATTAATATGATTCAT